ATAGTGAGACCACTAAGGTAGTGTCTTGGCTGAGGTGCAGCAAAATATGGTGAAATCACTATGTGTCATAAATAGAATTCAGCTGTTTACTGCCAAGATATTGAATATGCTGAGAAATCTGCATCCATGTTAGTAGGAATTTTATAGAAAACAGTGCAAGATATATCTCAGTAGATCTCAAAGCTGGTTGTTCAAGGTAAAAGAATGTAGGACTGAGGACCTGATTTTTAAATGCCAATATTTACTCAAAAAGATTGCACTCCAATGCTATGGCAAAATTATTATTAATCATTAACAAAATGAAAATTTCCTAGCAAATTCCCTGTAACACAAAAAGGTATGTATTTCATTTGATAACAGCTGCTAAATTCCATAACTTAAAGTTTTAATTTCAGTTTTTCTGGGATAATCAATGATTTTACACAGTATCTCACTGCCTCCCCCTTCCACATCTAGATGCTAACAAAGCCAGGGGAGCTTCACTACAGCTCGGCTGGCACATTTTTCCCAAATCTCTTGGTAGTGCAAAAGAACACAGGAGGCACTGTTACAGCTACCTGTTGTCTTGGGAACAAAAAACTGGGGCTAAGAGGAATGAAGACAGCTCTGACTCTTCCTTTTGTGCAATGTCCATAAAGTACTAGTGCAACGAAGTTTGAAGAAAATGTATTAAAAAAAAAAACCGAGACATGAAAATGAAAGGCAGTCGCTACTGCAAGTTAAAGCATGGGCCAGTCTTAGCAGATCCTGAAATGGGCTGATGTTAACTTCAGTTTAGTCTGTGTGCCAGATTACATTCAGGTATTGTAGCATTCCTTGAATTTCTGAGTAGATGTTAGTACATACTGCTTCTCATTTAGAAGTGAGAAGCAAAAAAAGTAATAGCACTAAGCTGAAGTAGACATCTTTTCTGGATGTGTTTATCACTTCTCACAACTGCTTCTTTATACTGTAAGTCATTTTGTTTATCCAGTTTGATTATGTTTTCCTCTCTTTTCTGCCAAATTCGTCAGCTTATATTTTTCAGCTATGACACAGAAAAACTTTTACATTAACTGCAAAGCAAGAGAGGTATTGAAGAAAGTTTTAACACTGTGGTGACTTAAAGGTTTGGTTTTTTTCATATGTTTAAGCAAATATCTTTGGTGGCCTGAATACTGGAAACTCAGATTTGCATTTTCAAGTAAATGTATGCAGCTCACCTGCATGGCTAAGGCAGTCAGGTAAATTACAGTAGGGAGGAGTATTGACTTGAAGCTTGTTTTTGTTAAATTAGATAGCTTTCTGTCCATGGATGATAGCAGTATACATTAATGGCTGTGCATACACCTCTTCTGTGTGCCTTCAGCAACAAAATTCCATTTAATAGAAATCCTAACTTGCCTAGGCATGAAAATGCGCACAGAAACATCACCTTTCATCTGCTGTGTAATAAAAACAGTGAAATAATCGTTATAATTGCACCATTCTGATACTTGTGGGCCCAGACTAAACTCATTTCAAAGGCATGGTTTTAATAATATGTTTTCCCTTCTCCCACAGTATTTCTAAATACAAAAAAGGTGTACTGTTAATATCAGGATTAAGCTGGGGGTGGGTTTTTTTTTCCTCTTCCAACTGCAGCCACACAGGTCTTTCTAACCTTGTTTTGTAAAGTATATCTCATGAGGGACACCTGAGATCAGTATACTTCACTTCAGAGCACTCTCCCTTTCCCTCAGGGCAGTAGAACATTTCTGCAGCTGTTACATGGTTTCTGCAGAGAATACTATCAGATAAAACAGAAGTTTGAACAGCCTGGAGTTAGTAGGAAGCGTTTGTGACTTTCCCCAGTAATGCTACTCAGTACAAAGAAATGTTTACAGCAGTGTAACACAGCAGTTTTGATTCTGTCATGGACTGTTGTATTTTAATATTATTTTTAAATAAAGGCATGGATGATAAATGTTACTAAGTATTAATTATAAACAGAATGGACTTATTTATGGTACACTAATTATAATGACTGTTTCTGGAAGATGATCACAGAATCACAGAATGGTTGAGGTTGGAGGTGACCTCTGGAGGTCATCTTGTTCAACCCCTGTGCTCAAGCACAGTCATCTAAAGCAGGTTGCCCAGGACAATATCCAGATGGCTTTTGAATATCTCCACATCCTCTCTGGGCAAACTTTTCCCGTGCTTGGTCATTCTCACAGTGCATTTAATCAAAAATGTTTTGCCTTTTTAGTAAAGGTAAAATTGTTCATGCATATGAATATTTCTTTGATCAGAAGATGTAATTAATGGCCTGGCTGAACAGAGAGCTATGGCTGGAACTCGGGAAAAAAAAGAGAGTTTATGACCTTTGGAAGAAGGGGCAGGCAACTCAGGAGGACTACAAGGATGTCGTGAGGTTATGCAGGGAGAAAATTAGAAGGGCGAAGCACAACTAGAACTTAATCTGGCTACTGCTGTAAAGGACAAAATAAAAAATTTCTATAAATATATTAGCAACAAAAGGAGGGCTAAGGACAATCTCCATCCTTTATTGGATGTGGAGGGAAACATAGTGACAAAGGATGAGAAAAAAGGCTGAGGTACTTAATGCCTTCTTTGCTTCAGTCTTTAACAGTAAGACCAGTTCTCGGGGTACCCAGCCCCCTGAGCTGGAAGACAGGGTCGGGGAGCAGAATGAAGCCCCCATAATCCAAGGGGAAATGGTTAGCAACCTGCTATACCGTGTAGACACACACAAGTCTGTGGGGCCAGATGGCATACACCCAAGGGTACTGAGGGAGCTGGCGGAGGTGCTCACCAAGCCACTTTCAATCATTTATCAGCAGGCTTGGCTAAATGGGGAGGTCCCAGTTGACTGGAAGTTAGCTAATGTGATGCCCATCTACAAGAAGGGTCGGAAGGAGGATCCGGGGAAATACAGGCCTGTCAGCCTGACCTCAGTGCTGAGGAAGGTTGTGGAGCAGATCACCTTGAGTGCCATCATGTGTCACATACAGGACAACCAGGGGATCAGGCCCAGTTAGCTTGGGTTTATGAAAGGCAGGTCCTGCTTGACTAACCCTATCTCCTTCTATGACAATGTGACCCGCTTAGTGGATGAGGGAAAGGCTGTGGATCTTGTCTACCTAGACTTCAGTAAACCCTTCAACACCGTTGCCTACAGCATTCTCCTGGAGAAACTGGCTGCTCATGGCTTAGGTGGGCATACTCTTTGCTGGGTAAAAAACTGGCTGGATGGCTGGGCCCAAAGAGTTTTGGTGAATGGAGTTAAATCTAGTTGGTGGTCAGTCAGAAGTGGTGTTCCCCAGGGCTCAGTATTGGGGCCAGTTCTGTTTAATATCTTTATCAACGATCTGGACGAGGGGATCGAGGGCACCCTCAGTAAGTTTGCAGATGACACCAAGTTGGGTGGGAGTGTTGATCTGCTGGAAGGCAGGAAGGCTCTACAGAGGGATCTGGACAGGCCAGAGTGATGGGCCAATTGCATGAGGTTCAACAAGGCTGAGTGCCAGGTCCTGCACTTGGGTCACAACAACCCCATGCAACGCTACAGGCTTGGGGAAGAGTGGCTGGAAAGCTGCCCAGCGGAAAAGGACCTGGGGGTGTTGGCTGACAGCTGGCTGCATCTGAGCCAGCAGTGTGCACAGGTGGCCAAGAAGGCCAATAGCATCCTGGCTTGTATCAGG